TTAAACTTTAACCTTCCTTTCCCTCTAGAGTGTTTCCTTATCGGAACGTCAACGCTGTCTGTTTTGTCTGTCGTAAATAGTGATCTCACAAGTTCTTAGTCGGATGTAGCATGTACATACAGAAGAGTTAAACCTTCGTCCTCACTGATCCTCCTCTGATGAATGTGAGAGGCAGCTGGGGGCTCGCAGGAGGCGCAGGCACATGTTTGTATTAGACTTAAGCAGTAATGCACCTGAGTACTGTGGTAAGGCCACTGAATGGGTTGGCTTTGTGAAGTGGGATCATGAGGGCAGAGATTAAGGCAGCGCTCTTCAGACGACGGCCTCACATCTGGATAATTAGTGGCAGTGAGGTGAGCCGAGTCGGTGTAGCCTAGTTAGACCTGATGGTTTTTGAAATACTTCCTGGTGAAATGTGCACACCTGGGTTATAAATACAAACACAGTCACAATCAGAGATGTAAAGAGAAATGGAGACAAAAATTCCCCCACAGGGGTAAAAGCAGAACTCTTGCCTTCTGTTGTAACTGTATTTTTCTGAAACCCAACACTTTACCCCTGCAACGCAGCCACTTGCCCCTGATCCAAGTAGTTGAAACTTCTGTGCGCTAACTGTTAGTTAGTGTGTGTATATGTATGTGTGTGTGTGTGTGTGTATCTTTGATCATCTTGGTTGGTGGAAACCTTCAAGACTTTGCTCAGACATGTCCACCCAGTGTTTCTGTGTGTGTGTGTGTGTGTGTGATGGAGTGGTGAGATGCTAGAAGTTCACTGAGCTTTGATCATTGTACAGGAATTCTGGCTCCACTTCACTAATCCCAGGCTCAGATTTACGTCTGATTACTTGTTACCGCCCTTTTCTTATGATTTTTAATTGTTTTCACTGTAGGGCAAATCCCAATAAAGTGCTAAAAGTTGTACTGCAGGGCTGAAGCAAACCTAACCTGCTCTGTAAAATGGTGTTTGAACATCTTCATTCTGATGGACAGTTAATGTAACAATAACATTTTACTCATTTCATTATTTTGATAAATCATTAGTGAGTTAATATACTGGTCCTCGGTCTAGTGGTAAGAGAATTAGTCTACTAAGTGAAGAATCACGGGTTTAATAGTTGTCTCGTGCATTTTTAAATGTTGACCAAATCTGTTTTTACTTTTTCATATTTTTCTGCAGAATATCGCCGTCTGCTGGCCACCACAACTGACTGCACTCTGCAAGTGTTTGGCAATCGTCATGACAGATTTAAACACCTCATTCACGCTGTGCGGTAGCGAACTAGTTGCACGGATATTAAACAGCGAAATTATTAAAGGTTGACATATAAACTTTTTTTAATAAAAGTCATTATTTTAATTTTAATTTTGTTATTTAATTTAGTTTTCCACTATTGAAAGATATCTATTTTATTCATGTTCCACAAGGGCACTTTGGCGGGAACTTGTTGATGAGAAAAATGTGATATGTGGGCAGTAACACATTGTAAATGTTTTGGCAAATAAATCTTATTTAGTTTGTTCAAATTAAGCTATAAAAATATTTGTTATACAACATAAGTTGCTCTCAGCCATTTTTATTTTGTAAAAGTGGCTCTTGGAGAACAAAAGGTTGGAGACCCCTGGTGAAGAGCATGTGTGGAAATTAGAAATAAAAGCAGAGAGACTGAGAGGACAATGGAACTAAAATAGTTCTGCTCCTACACCCAATATGAACTGTTAATGCCACAGGTCAGACATTTTTCTCCTTTTGTGGAAGTCTGTCCCTGTGTGCCCACCGGCTTCCTTTTGTTTACCTTATCCCCCTTCCCTACATCTGTTGCTCCCTCTATCCTTCCATCCTGCCTTCCAAACTCTGTGTGTTTGTGGTGCTGCCCTGAAAGTGTTTCCCTTTCACATGAATGCCTGCACACACTGCACACTCACAAACCACTATTGCAAGGTGTGTGTGGGAGGTAGCTATTTGTGTTAACGCACTGCTAATATGTGTGTTTGTGTCTGTGTGTGTGTCCCAGGACAAGGACGTAGAAGGAGAGGAAGAGGAGGAGGAGGAAGCTGCCACAAATGTGCCCAAGGTAAATGGCGCAACTTCATAGCATGTCAAACCTCACACTGACACATTAACATCTAACTCCAAATGTAAACTGACAGCAACTCCCTGTACAATACACATCCAAGCTAAATGCTCTTATCTTCTCCTACACTGACTAAACAACCACTCCACACCCACACACACACACACAAACACTCTGACTATCTCACGATATGACGTCGCACTTATTTTTGTAAAACTCTGAACGCTTGAGACCTGCGTCATCAACCGATCCACAGCTTTAAGCTGACCTCAGTGTCACACACTCTTTGACTCGGAGTTTCATCATGTCAAGTCATCAGTGTTTTTGAATGTAGCTGTGATAAAGCCGGGGTCAACACAGACCTCAGTGTTTACCTGTAAACATATGCACCAGACCTTAACTACCTCTGACTGCATATTCCTCCAGGATATCAGAAGAAAAATCATGTTGTTTGTTGTTAAAACAGACACAGACAGTATGTTGGTCTGTCTGTGTCTTTGATTCCAAAACTCCTGACGGGGAATCGTGTGGAGAGGAGTGGAGTGAGGTCATTACATTCTGGCATTGATTTCTCAGTCCAGATCAGGACAAACAAAAACACAGCTATGGTTTTCACTAAATGTCCTTTTCACTAAAACAAATACTTTAGAAATTGCCAACTCCATTTACTTCAACAGGTTTTTCCACTGGGTCACTTCTACTTTTTTACATTAACATTCAAATTAATGGGGAACTACAGATAATAATTGTTACAGTGGAAGTTAACCGTTATCCCCGGCTCTTTGTGTTTGTTCGCTACATAACAGTTGTGTGATGTCTAATCAGCAGCTCTTCCTGTATGTGATTAGAACTATCTTAGACCGTGTTCCTGTCAGATACAGAACATTTAGATCTGATCAGTGCTGACAAGTCTCTGAGGCGTGGTCAGTCTGGACTCTCCTGAGCTAATTGAAGTTTTTGGCGTTGACCTCAAACACTTGCAGTCCATTGTCCGTGCTGTAAGTGACCAAGTTCATGGGACGTTTTCATGACCTTTGCTGCTGGTGAGGGTCGAGTGGTTGGGGTAGAGAGGGGAAGGAAATGCAACATTCCTTCTAGGAGCTAGACATTTTGATGGAAACAATGAGTGTGGAAGAAAAACAAGTCTGAAAATAACCCTGATATTGGGAACTGCTCCAGTTCTTTCACTCCTAGTAGCTCATTCCTCTCTTTGTTGTTGATTTATCATTAACGTATTGGTTGCAACTTTAATCAATTTTTTACACCTTTACTGACACTTTTTTAGGTGAAGTTTAATCTATATCTCTGTCCTCTTTTTGAGTATATTTACCAATGATAATTATTTCACCACATGAATTTATAAAAGAAAATCAACATTGATATTTCTTTTTGTTCGATTGACCTTTTTTATCTTTAGGAAGTAGAGTAGTACTGTACCTCTATGAACCTGTACCACTGCGTCTATGACTCCTGCAGCATGCCCAACACTAAATACCACATTAAAAATGCAGTTTCTACCTCAGGCATATGGATGGAAGAATTTGGCTCAACAGGAGCTCTATTGTTCTGCAAAGTATAAACACACACACACACACAGTGAGCTGTCTGCTTCACTTACTTCTGGCTACAGAGATTATTGCATTGCCTTGGATCCAGAGGCCTGCAGGTTAATGCTGTGGTAAATGGTGAATAGTCCGGCCTCACTATGATCCCCTCACTCAAAGCTGGATTTTAGATACAGTACACACACACACACACACCCAAACACACACACATGAATGCCCAATCAATGTAACATAATCTCTTCCAGCATCTCTGGTTTCTGGAGAAACAGCAAATCTGTTCTACACTCACTGGTAGGATGGGGGAGTGAGAGAGGGAGTGAGGGAGGGAACGGGGGGGGGCGGGCAGAAATGGCAGCAACTGGGTTTTGAAATAGACTAGGAGAATTTATTAAACTGTCAGATTTTCTATCCACGATCATGTTCACTGTGGTCAGAGGTAAGCAGGGGAGCTGTTGTTCTTTGTCTTTATCAGCTCAGTGCCTCAGTGTCTCCTCGTGAGACTCCAAGGTTAGACGCAGAGGAAGATGTTTTTTTTAGAATGACTAAATGTCACATTTGGTGTTTGTACATGCAGAGATCACAGGATGACTCCTGAGTGTAGATGAAACAGAGAGTGTGTATATCCTGTGGACCTATAGAACAAACACTTCTGTCAAAGTCAACATTGTTTACTCTCCTGATTCTGTTCCTGTGGCGTCTTTCATGTCCAGCTGTTTGTTTGCTTGTTGTCATGACTTTAAACAGGGCACCTCACTGGTAAAATAAACAGGAGACACAAAAGAAACAGTTAAAAGGGTCGCTGGGGTCAAATAATGCTTTTTTTTTTTTAATGAAACAAGCGTTAGAATTAGAAGAGTTTCTAAGGTTGACACACAGTCAGTCCTGAGGCCTGGGTCAGTGTAAGGCTCCCAGTTTCACCTAATTTTCTGATGGAAAATATAAAGTTAAACTTCCTCATTCCCAGTAAAAAAACACTTGCCATCAGTTGTCTACAGCTGAATAGAACCAATAACTTTAAACACCCACACCACAAGTTTAGCTGTTTTTAACATTTTTTTTTGCAGCCATTTTTCATCTAGATTTTGCATCAGTATCTCATACAGTCCAGGAGTGATGTAGGAGTGAATATTAGACACTGATAACTGACCAGGAGAATTCTTTTCTGACACACGGGGAAAATGGGCCAAATGTTTCATAATCGTCTCCCAGGGAGGCATCAGCGCTCAGTGGATATCTTTAAAGGCAGCTGAGGAGGTGGAGGAGGAATTCAGATGTTTTTGGGGGAGTCAGTGAAGTGGTCCAAGGGAGGAAAGGTCTTCCTCTGGAATTTGCTAAATATTAGTATTTCATGTGCTGGTCAAGTCTGTTTGGACCTGTAAAAAATGTTTGTGGAAACCATTTATTACACGTTCACGTCCGTAATAAAACCATTTATTACACGTATCCTGCAGGTCAGTCAAGGAGCCAGGAAACACATTCTTAGTGGTGGTCCAACCAGGATTAACAGTTAGTAAACGCTCTAGTGCTTTGCCAGGATGCCGAGGGCCACGTCATGAAATTTGCATGCATTATGGGAGTTGTAGTTTATGGTAAACACACATTGATGTAGGCTTGATAAAAATGACACTATAGGCTCTCTACTAAAGACATGTTATTTTAAGACAACCATGAGCATGCTAATCTCTGGTGGACCAGATAAAATGACGTGGTGGGCCAGAGTTGGTCCACAGGCCTTGAGTATGACATAATGGTGTGAACTTTATGGAATCTTTATCTTCAAGCTGACATGTACCTGCAAATTGAATTAAAATGAAATGCTCTGCCATCTGCTGGTGTATGACAGGAAGCCATGGTCAAGAAGATCATATCCAAGAAAGAGAGGAGAGACAAGAAGATGTTCTCCTCCAAAGATGACGAGCACTTCCTACTGACGGGGGTTAAAGCAGCTGACCGCAAAGGGTGAGTTCGAAAACAAAACTTTTGTATCACATGGTTAAACATATAATTTGGATTTTAAAATAAATGAATGAACACTGATTCATAATTGTATATAATAGACCGAAAGAATGAAAAAGTATACTTGTAAACATTACAATAAATACAGTGATGCATTTCTGATTCTAAGTTTGGGAGAAAAGTAGATAAAAACTATCCTGATAATGGATCGAGATCTTTAAGAAAACAAAGTTCATGTGGGGAAAAACAAATGTCCTCCCCATCTTTGGTAGAGTTGAATGTCAGTGGTCAAGTGTGTGAAGCAAAAATATTTAAAAGGGAGGTTGAAAATAATGAACCCTTGTTCAACCACTTGAGTTTAGAAAGAGGGCGGAGCCGTGTTTGTCATCGGTCGTAATCACTCAGTCCCTTCAGTGAAGTGGGCCGAGATATGGAGATGAAGAGAGAAATAAATCACTTTGTCATATCAACCCTATCAATGGGAGTTGAGAGGAAAAATCCTGTTGTCACATAGTTGACTCCAACCTTCAGTGACATTTTCTGTCGACTTTGCTGGTATAAAAATGTTTTTGATTTTGTTTCTATAAAGGTCTCACAAGAAAATCAAAGATGATGAAAAGGACAAAGACAAGAAGGACAAACCAGAGAAGGGTCTCTGCTTCTGGGAAAGTGTTACCATGACAATGAGGCAGATCTCACCTACCAAAAAACTGGAAAAGGTTGAGGGCTGGGAGCCTCCGCAGCGTGAGACAGACGAGGGTCTGGAGGACAGGAACTCCAAGCAGGACTCACCGGTGTCTGTCCCTGAGTCTTTAGGCCTTCCCTTGGAACTGGCCTCCTGGAGAGGCCAGGGCACAGAAGAAGACTCCTCGCGCTACGCTAACCTGTCAGACTCCTCTGATTCAGCTGCTGTCACGTGGACGGCCCGAGCCAAAGTCAAGTTGGCCGGAATCAGCAGGATGAGCAGGGGGATCGTGTCAGACGTGGCCTGGGAGGGGTTTAAATAACAGCCCCTGCCCCCAAATTAGTTATGAAGATGAACCTGAACCAAATGCATATGTAGTCTTGTTGGGACAGGACTGAAACTTCTGAATCACTGACAAAAACAAAAACCAATGTACACCTTAAACTACTGCAACATTTGGACCACTGTAGCCACTGGTCTGGCTCATAGAGTTTTAATTGAAACTTGATTTAAATGTTATTTTTGCCTTTTTATTCATATATTAATCTTAAAGACCGGATTAAGAGAAAAGGAAATCACTTTCAAGATTTCTGATGTTAAAATGGTTTGTGTATTTTTTTAGATATTAAATTACAGCATCAGGTTTACCTGGAAATTTACACTTAAAATGTACTGTGCCTTCATGAATGTGCTTTGGATACGTAACATCGCCTGGTATCTGAGATACCTTGAAGATGTAACTTTGTGTGCATGAGTCTGGTATCTGAGATACCAGTGCTTGAAGATGTAACTTTGTGTGCATGAGCTATAAGACAACAGTGAAACCAACTCATTCAGGTGGTTTCTGTTTCATTACCCAGAACTGGTGTGAATGGAGTTGTACTTCCTACCTGTATCACTGACAGCATTCTTAAATTCAAGAAGAGTAAAAGTGCCTCCAATAAGTGATCTTTCTTTTGCAAGAGGTGACGTAGCTTCACCTGAGAAGTGCCTTTATCCTAGTACTTTGTCAAATCGTCCCTGTAAATTTGACTTCAAAAAGCTCAGATGTCGTCTGGACATGGAAAAAAAATCCCTGCCAATTGTGAAATTGAAACTTACTGTCTTGACCACTAGAGGGAGCTGTAGTGTGCATTCACCAGGCGTTGCTGTTGTGACCTTTTCATACCTGTTTACTTAACGCGGAGAAGGTGAGTTATGATTTCACTGTGACAATGATTGTCATTTTTCCTTGAAGATATTACAGGTATTAAATGTTGCCATATTCACTGATGCTTCTTTTTTTTTAACCAGTTTGTTGAAAATCGTTTTAAACTGAGTCAGTCTCCTATTAGGTAAGTAAGAAGCTAGTTCAAATTCACATTAGCTGCACTGTTTGGCTCTGAATTACATATTTATTCTTCAACAATTTAGTTTTTAACTTTGAACAACCAGATATTTAATTTTCCAAGGATATAACCATGAGAATTGTTTTTTAAAGCAACCTAGGTCATAAGCTTGTGCTGCATGATGGATTCACGGTTGGAGCTGCTGCCTTACAGCGAGAGGGAACTGTGTCATGCACCGACAGGTTGTATGTTTCTCTGTTTTCTCCTCTGTGGACAAAGAGAATTGTTTTGTTTTTTTAATTTTCTAAACGACTGTGTTATTGTTCCAACATTGTACCAACATAAAACAAAGAGGTAAAAAAATGAAATGAATTTCCAAAAGGTTTAACTTCTTTTCAATAGATATACCGTATATCTCTGTCAATCTAAAATATTCTAAGATTACACTACCTAGAACAAAAAGTCTAAACATTTTATGATCGATAAGCAGCAATTTTCAGAAAGTAAAAAAAAAAAGAAGTTTTATTGTCATTCAGTAGTGACTGAGTTCCCTTTACAACAAAAGTCATAACAGAACCACAAAGAGAAGAGGAAGAGTAGAGCATTATCACAAAAGTAGTATGTTTACAAAAAAAGTCCCCTCTCCCTATAAATACGTATTTAAATCTCCTCTGTCTGTCACAGACCGTTGGACCAAAGTCATTTGGTCGTGCGCACGTAACAACAGTCCAGCAGAAAGGAGTGAGTCTAACTGTTAGACTCTAACAGTTTCCTATTTGTGTTGTCGTCTTTCCCTGCGTAAGAAATCATAATGGACAACCAGGATGTAAACACAGACCTACACACAACATGCAGTCAGTTGTTAAAATACCATCACCATCACAAGTCATTAACAGTTTAAATAAAACATCACCTTATTCTGACCATCTGTCAGTGTCTATCATCAACACTCCACAAACATGAACAAACAAACAAACTTTTTACCCAAAGATAATCAATGTCCTGGAAACATTTACATTTTAATTATTATATCTGCAGTAAAGTGAAGCTTTTTTCAGGAAAACAAAAATCTGTGAAATGTCACTTATTGCTGAGACAACATTCTTTATTGTTTTAAATTATTCTTGCTCTATACTTTTTTTATGGAAAACATTTGTGCGTAACGACATGTAGACATTTAAAAAAAATTCTCTTTCTAAACAGCCCTTTGTTTTTCTGTAAAAAACAAAAACAAAAAAAGCAAACCTTTGTACACTCTTGGTAACGGATGTTTGACCTAAAGGGCAACATGGAGATTTTAGGACCTGAAAAGGTTAATAAAGTGCTGCGGAGAGATGGGCATGAAGCAGCTCTCTGGATCTTTGGCTGAACACGGATGGCCACTGTCCTGGAACACAGAGAAATGAAGATTTGTTTTCACAGCACATAGATGTAGGACGATGAACCGATTTACTGCAGAACAACTGTAAACAAACCAAGCTACTCACATCAGCAGTTAGTAAGATATAACGAGAAACATCCGTGTCAGACTAAAGGACAAGTGATTTATTTTTATAGGACACAACAACACTGAATGGGATGTGGTAACAGTGACCAATCAGCCTGTAGTCTGTTGACCAAACACACCTGAAGTGAAAAGTGATGACAAAAAACACCAGACACTACAAGACAGAAGCCAACACAAGCCAAAAGATGACGTTACTGATGACAAAGAAAGGCATGATGGGACGGAAAGTACCTTTAGGAACAAAGTCAGGTGGCAATCCTAAGGCAATCAGGGCAAAAGGAACCAGAAGCAGAGGAGACAAGGGAGGTTAAACAGCATAGGCAACCAACCAAAGCAGGGCAATTGAACAGTGGGCAGTAAATAATGACAGAGAGACAGAGAGAGAGAGAGAAGTAATAAAGAAAAACATGGGGTTTAAGTGACAACTGTTACTTAACATTCATTATTTTGACTATTTAAATAAGTAACCCTTTGTTGTTGTTGTCGTTGTTGTTAAAAGTCAGAGCTTCAAACAGCCGTCAGTGATCAATGTCAGCAGTAAACATGCTGACCTCATCTTGACCTTTAGACGGATGGTGACAGGCTATTTAAACAAAGTATCTGAAAACCTCTATCTGGTCGACCGTGTTCCCTACATGATGGGGGTGTGGTTGTTGTCTGTGTTTACCTTCCAGAAGAGGATGCAGCAGTGGGTGCAGAAGTGCAGGGTGTCACCGAAGTGCTCTTTCACAGGATAATGCTGCCTTAGGGTGAAGTACATCAGCTTCCAGTCCACGTTGTCACTTTTGGTCAAAACCAAGTCCCCACAGTACTGTGGCCATGTACACACACACACACACACACCAGAAATATGAGACATCTACTCACATACATTCAACTATGTTAAAGAAATATCCAACACTTATGGAAAACATGGACAAAAACACTGAGCAAATTACTTTCAATTTGGACAACAATTTGAAACTATAGCAATGTTGCCATCTTGTGGCCAAAAGCGAATGGCACGTAAATTAAAGTAAAATCAATTAAAAGTTATTTCTATTTCTATGATTCTATAAAATTGTAAGAAATTAAAGGTGAGCACACATTTGCTTTAATAATTTTACAACCATTTTATTTTAATAGTGGGGCACAATGATATGTTGTGTTAATTACTTGAAATTGTTCATTGACATCAAGTCATACTGTGTAGAAGTTAGAAAATGTTCATTGACATCAAGTCATACTGTGTAATTCATAGTTGTTATTTTCATTTAAGTAGTGACTTAAAATGACTAACTCTGAGTGAAAGTCTAAATGAAACGAGGGAGAATGTAGAAAACTGTATTTATGCTCGTAATGTTGTTGCACTTTTTAGGACAAAGTGACATTACACTCATTGTAGTCTGACACAGGAGTAAAGTCAAGCCCACAAGAACAGCAGAGACACCGACAGCCTGAATGCTGTTAACTCAGGGTTTACTCACTATTTGTGTGAAAAGAGACAAATTAATTTACCTTTTTGTTTGAAAAGTGAAAGTAACACAGTTTCTTCCACAGCATCTTATTTTCACTGAGGCGCAACAGAGTAGGTGTGGTTTGCCCTAGGTTTATGATGTCACGTGCATCTGATAGGTGGCAAATTATCTTGTCCTGCATTGGTACTGGAAGGTCATCAAAGGTCAAACTAGTGGATGCATTCTGTGAAAAAAATAAAAAAAATAACATTAGGGTCTTTTTTTGTTTGGTGATATTCTGTGAAAAAAAAACCAAAACATTAGGGTCTTTTTTTGTTTGGTGAAACTCTACCATATCCTTCACAACCAAAAAATGTTTCTGCTACTTTTGCTACAAATAGTAACAGATTTTGGATGGATGGATGATTATTTTTTTCAAAAAACTGAGACATCAGTATAACCAAATATCGAATCCTGGTTAGAGCGGTAGGAAATTGTACGGAAAAGTACGTTTTCATGCGTTTGTGTAACTACTTGCCTAGGGCTTAGACACAAATGTTTAAAATATTGTATCATCATTATATCACCATTGAAATACACTAGGATCTGAAACTACAACCTCCTGGCATATTGCCTTGGACAATAAAGTGCGAAACATTTTTCTGCTTAGTGAAACTACTCCATGTCCTTCACAAGAAAACAGAACATTTGTTTGTGAAGGAGATTTGCTGTAGTTTCTATATTCAAATTTCTGTTTTTTTTTTCAGTGTCCACATATCCACTCTCTCTACCTTAGGAATCTCCAGGTTGTTAAGTTGTTGTTGCCATTCTTTAATAGTCACCAGTCGACCCAACCAGATGTGGACGTTGCCCACCAGGATACTTCTACCCAAATGGATGGTCAGCTCATGCAGCGTCTGACTCAAATCCTGCAGCAGGTCTTTGACAAGGCGAGGATTGTAGTGATCCTCCAGGACTAGAGTAATGATTTGAAAAATAAATCAGTAAAAACTAGTCAGACTTTTCAGAAAATAATTTATACAATGGATTTAAAATAAATATTACTGAAGAATTTTGCTTTTTTACAAGAACCAATCAGAAACATAAATGTTGTAAAGAAACAACAAAAGAAAAAAAAATACTGTGAACACGTTAAGAGGTCTTCTTACCTTTTTTTACAATCTTTTCCAGTATATTAAAGTAGTTTTTTTGCGCACCTCCACTCAATGAACACAGCTGGGACCTGGCTATCAGCTGAAAAAGCTGTGCGGTGAAATGAAAGGGTCATTTGGACAAGTCATAAAAACGCCTTTTAAAACTGTTGTAAATCAGAAAGCACGATTGTTATCCCTTACTTTTGCGACATAGTTAAATCTTCTCAAATCTTGAATGGCACTTGAAAAGTCCAGACGGTTCAGTACTTCGCCCAGTGTGCTGTATGTTTGTCGCTGTGTGACAAAAATGTACAAAACATAACATAGTGTGAAGCAAAAAGATTTAAAAACAAAGATTAAAATCAAGAGTGGAGAACTCACTTCTTTTGTAGTGTCTGGGAACACAAAGACCCATTTATCATTGGAGAAACCCACTAAAGGGGGAATAAATAGAAGATTTTTTCATATATGGTGTGATTGGTTTAGATGTATATGATATGTGGGCAGTCTGGTGCAGTATAACCCCATGGAACCAATACCATATTTTAGGTACTGTATAACTGAAACACAACATGCATGTTTTCTCTTTAGTTTCTGTTTTGGTCTTTATTTTGGAGCTCAAACTCTTAGCTATGGTATGCTGTATGTCAAAACAGTAGTGTGGAGTTTTCAAAGTTACACAAACTTAAATGAGTGTTGTTGTTGGACAGACCTGTTTGACCGGAAACCATGTCAACAGGTTTGGCATTCTGGCATATTCTAGAGTGGGAGGAGCCTCCCTACAGACATTTGAGCCCCTGACATCCATGTGATAATTGTGTCCGTCAGCTTGTCGTCCATAGAACTGCTCACTGCCCTGCATGCCTTAGAGGGCTGCTCCAAGGCAAGACAGATGTACAGTATGACCTGAAGGCACTCTGGGCCACGAGGAGATATTCTAGGCTGAAGTTGCTTGGCTGAAACTTTTTCATCATAATGTAACATATGTATTGACTGAGGAATGGTTTAATATATAGTGAGCAACATATTGTCTGTGCATTAAAATGTGTTTTTTTAATTGATAAACTTCACAAATAAATTAATGCAATTAATGAATCAACTGTGACAGCGCTACAGTTTGACACAAGAAATGGTGGTGTATTATGGTAAATTAGTGTTAAATGTAAGAGAAGTTATTGTTACAGCTGAAATGAAGTGAAGTGAAAAGCGTCGCAGTAACTCTTTCTCTAACCTCTCACTATATTATTTAAAGACTTTAACTGTGGCTAATGTCTGGAGAGTAGATGTCTGGTTGAAGACGCTGTCAGAAGGCAGACACGCCCATTCCCTTTGTAAAGACTCGCTGTGATATCCGAGCAATGACAATTACAGATTAAACTTCTACCACTGAAGGGGAGGCAGAAGAATCAGAGCTAAAAGCTTGGCATTACCAGCGTTGCTGGGACTCACTGTGAGATCTGGTGTTGTTGTTGTTAAACTCTTTTTTCCACTTTGTGGTGGCAATCTCACAAACATCTTTCACGACCACATTTTCTCTGTCAGTGCACTGCCTGTTGAGACAGCAGAAGCATGAAAGGAATTTGTTAACAACACGGCTTGGTGACACACTGACCGTGCACCTACAGGACAAACAATGTAATTACGAAGTGTGAAGAGCCTGTTCTCTTAGACAGACACAGATGCAATGTGTAGTCAGATGGCTCATAGGTTGGTGGTGGACTCCTCTCCTTTATGGATTAGCACTAACAACACAGGCTTTTTATTTTTTTTATTTGTGAATATTTACAGTGTACTACAGTGTATCCTTACATACTTAATGCTGATCTAATGGCAGAGTCTGACATTTGTACCTCAGCTGCATGAGGTCACTGGCCTTTCTGAGTGAGCGGATGTCTGGACAGCAGCCATCTAATGGAGATGATGTCACTGGGAATTGGCCTCAGTATAAAAATACAGTGACACTGTAGGTACTGTTGTTGTTTATTTAAAGGAGATATCCCCCACTGGTGCTGCCTCTATCACTGTCAGTACTGTACAGGTCATTACTATTTATGACTGGGTATACTGTATATGCGTTTATTGTTACTTGTTTATTGGCAATACAAAAAACAGGTTGTTTTTGTTAAATACCAGTTCTTTAGTTAGGATGGAACACAAACATATGACAAAATTAGAGGAGACCCAAACCAGAAAAACTGGAACGGGTGTGCTGTGAGGTCAGCTTTTTAGATAAACAAAAGTCTTCTTTTACGTTTGTTCACTTAATAGATAACTTTGGAAATAATAATGATGTGGAGGCACAGAATATAATAACTGTACCCTTTTTGTTTTGTTGTTTTGTACGATTTTGTCACACAATACACAAACCATTGCACAAGAATTTAAAGTCTTTAACTATGACATGTTGCTGCAGGTTAACTATGTCACAACAGGTTTCATGAACTGACTTGACGGTATTTAAACACACAACAAAAACTGATATCTGGAGCAGTCTGACTATCAGACAATTGGCCTAACAAGTGGATAAAAACAGAAATAAAAAGGTCAATCTTGTAGAAAACATCCCATGATGAACTTTTTACTCCAAGAGTAAGAAATATTTGATTGATTTGATACACCCGAATCACTCGACCAAGTCAAATGTCCCTGTCTGTCTGTTGCCGTGATACCCAGCTGGCAGCAATGACAGGCTGTAACTGTGGGACGCAAATCGCTATATCAAAGAAGCAACTCAGATAATAACATAATAATAATAACATTCATCCTCACAGGTCTAATCACACGTGAAAGTGTCACACAAGCAAGTGAATTCTTGTCATAGACTTGACATGACAACCAAAGAGGGAAATGGAGATTCTTAATATCGTTAACATATCTTGGCGTTCACGTGCATTAAATTATAGTAACACACAAGAGGAGTTTATCATCTTACTTTGTCAGCTCTGTTTCTCTATTGTTGTCCTGTAGCTCTTGTGCACAGCAGACAGTCTTCTTCCACCCGTGCTGTGTTTTTGTCCAGTTTAAACCTGGTGATCTCCAGTCCTTGCCAATGAAAGGCATTTTCCACTTCAGGACAGAACAAAAACATTAAGCTAATGTGATAATAAAAAAACCTGGAAAAAGAACCATATGCTTAAAAAAGACAAGTAAAAGAAAGCTAATAATATAATAATTTCACCTTTCTTTGAATTATAATGGAATAATAACGTTTTTCTTGCTTGTTTTCATCATAAACAATACACAAATTAATACATTGAATTGAACAATACATTAAATACACAAACAACAAACAATATGTCAAACATGCACATAAGTGCATATTTACTCTTAACAAATAAATAATGCAAATACAGTAAGCAAAAAAACTAAACAAACAAACTTTACATGTCTTGTCGTCATTAATAAACAAAACAAAAAAACCAAACCCACTGCTCTCTTTACATGTCTTGTCGTCATTAATAAACCGACAAATTCAAATATTTAAAAAAACCTGTAGATATTCCTTTATTTGTTTGTTTGTCTGCAGGCTCTACAACATCTAAGAACAAAAGTCATTTTTGTTATTATTAGATACCTCTGCTTTGCATTATCATATTTATTTATGAGACTGAAAGTACGACTAAAACCACTACTGACATCGATCGAAACGATTGTTTTTGCACAATAATTGCATTTGCAAATAGGTCCCATCAACAATATTGACAGTAAAACCGAAATAAAATGAGGTTGTCAGTCGGCTCAGTGGATATGACATGAGGTACAAACAATAAAAATGGCATCTTTACAAAATGATAGCCATAAATTTAAAATAAACATAGAAAAACGAACCTTGACATGCAAAGGACTCCTTTGTCGCAATCCTGCACCTCCCCTCCTCTGCCTGCCAGCTGTGCAGGAATATTGACGGAAGTAAACACAGAGCATTCTCTGCGGCCGCCCCTGCTGCTCTCTGATTGGATAAACCGCTCAGTATTTACGTTGTTACTGACCGGATTAATGCTGTCCATTGGCTAAACGGGGCTATCAATCATTACATTCAAGTATTTTTTTTAATAGCCTCACTTTAGTTGGGGCTTTCTCCTACACGTGACGCAGAGCTGCGCACATGCACTTGTTATTATTTTTAGCTGGGGGATGGGAACGATGATATAGTTGAGCAACAACAACAATTTAATAATAATAATATTAATAATAATAATAATGATGACAGCAACAATAGTCATAATAAAAATGCGTGACCTTCATCCAAAGGTCAGTGTTTCATCTTCCTCCACCTCATCCTGTCACTCGCAGATGGATCTGATCCTGCTGCTTTTTACCATTGTCTCAGGCCGTTCTGGGATGCTTTTTCCAAGACATTCTTCTTCAAGCTTCTTCAAACAAATATTTTGTGCACTCTTACCTTATTAACAAATGCATAATAACTCCATAATACCATTCACACAACCTCCTGCTGATGAAACAGTGAGCAAGGAGTAGTGTTTTTTTCATAGGCAGTTGTTTAATAATGGTAATAATTTGAGGCCCCTGCTGGAACCCTTGTACCCATCTTTTGAAATAATAGAACAATTATGAAATACAAAAAACATATTTTTCTTATTTGTCAGGTATCAAATATCATTCTTGACTAATTTAGTACATGATTAAATATTCAATGTGTGTTTCAATGGCCAGACGGATTCTCAATTTAATTTGTTGCTAGACACTGCCCCCCTTAGGTTGTAAACCGCAGATTCACAATTTTTGAGTTTTTTTACAAAACAAAACTTTTACATAAAATTGGGGTAAAAATGTGGCACTAACATTCATTCAAAAGACATTCAAAAGATGTAGAATAAAGCAAAACATAAAGATAAACTCTGTAAAAACAAGATTTGCATAAAAAAGTTGTAATTGTAACATGAATGGTAGGAACAAGCAACAATTGATATAAAAAAGTAACTGTAAAAGATAAATAATACAGTATTTGGCAGCTCTGTACAAAAGGAAAATGCAATCATTGTAACAAAACGGAACCACAGGGAAATGATAAGAACTCACGGTGCAGGGAGCACAACAAACAAGACGTGCTAACACCATAGGCAGAGATAAGTAATACATGACTACCATATACTGTACAGAGCAGAGTGTTGATTTTCTGCACAGCAGTGTGTGCTAATTCCTACAGGCAAAGTCTAATAAGAGTCTGGTGCTTATTTGCTCCACTTGTCTATATCTTATATGAGCTTTGATCATCAAAGGGAATGATGGTTAAGATAATAAATGAGGAGAATGTAAAGAGACTGGACATGAATTTCGGTTACAGGTCACTTAACATCAGATTATCAAGTACATTCCAGTAATAATAATAATCATACAGTAAGTCAGGAACCGGCTAATTTACTGACTGGAAAACAAACTGTTCTTCAAGCATTTTGATCCGTCTGCAGTAAAATAAAATGATTTAACAGAAACTTCAATACTGCATAAAGAGCCATTTTTGACCTTTTTCATGACAAGTAAAAGACTGCGTCTACTGTGGCTTCTTATTTAAATAGGGCTGGATGTAATGTACTAACCAGGACCAAAACCTCGTTCTAATGTGACAGGTTCTCACATGAGAATTTTTGCAGGAGTTTTTACACCATTTACCAACATGGGATGGGACTAGGTGGTACCAAACCCAGAGCCTCCTAGTGGTAGGCTAGCACTGCACTACTTTGGCCTACTATAAACTATACTTTGTTTTAATTTGCAAACATTGTACTTGCAAAACTTCAATTGATGCTTTCAGGAGTGTACTCGGCTATCATGTTTATATTCTCTTAAAATTGAGCATGTTTACTTACAGTATATCAGTGAGTCTTTTCTTTTTGAGTGAGGAAATCATGTTGGATAAGATTTGTTTTCATAAATAACTTGGCAAGTCTGTCTGTGACTGGAATGTTCTGATCTCAAATTCTGACTCAAGGCTACCTTCAAATTATAATTCCTGCAATGTTCAGGGCAATAATCTCAGGTTTCTCACCTGAGCATTCTACTGTAATATCAAGCCCTTTTTTAATCACATATTGGACAATACATGTCAAAATAACTCGTTAGTTTGATATCGGTGTCTACATTCAATGAGTCTAATTAAAAATTACCATAGTTTGTATAATTTAAAAAAACATAAATTCAACTCTAAAATTACCATAGTTTGTAATTTTTAATGTATGTAATTTTATTAATAATTTAAAAAAACATAAATTCAACTCACAGAGCTGCCATTAAAACCCTAAGGAGAAGAAGAATGTGTGTGGTTGTGTGAGCCCCAATGGTGAACTCTGACCTTTGTCACTTATAATATCTAGTTAAAAAAAAGTGTTGAGGCTGATCATTTTTCAAATTTAGCCACAACAGTAGTTTTTGACAATCAAAAAACAAAGAGTGCAGTAGCTTGCCTCCATTTTTAACAAGCCAACAACAAACGTGTCATGTATCAAATGAGACACATCACTGATCAGAGAGAGTTGTGATCCATAGGACAAAGGGGATTTGTATTTTGAGAAAAGTCTAAATTAATTAATTAATTAGACACTTTAACCGTCACTTTACATTATTCGTGTTTCATATTCCCTAGGATTTGACCTACATCAGCTGAATACATGTCTTGACACTGTAATACAACGGGACAAACGACATGTAAATAAACGTTTTCAAAAAGTGTAACAATGTTTACGAAACTATCAGTCAAAATCCAGGAATGAATCCAGTGTTTGTCTTCCAGTTAAGTCATAACTTAAGTGTGTGTTGTTCAGGTTTAATTATAGTCAGTCCAGGTCACGCAACTTTTTCCCAGTTTCCTTAGCATTCTTGCAGCTGTACAGCCACTTGATAATCCGTGCGTTGCGCTCGATCACTGACGTCCCCTGGCCTACCTTTCCATGTAACTTCTCCTCCAGGAGGCCATCGCTGTCACCACTGCTCCTGGAGAAGGTGTCATCTGATGAGGAGATGCTGATGCTCCGTATGTTTATTGCAATTTCGTCTGAGCGAGCTGAAAAGTTTTCCCTCCCCAGTGACTCGATGACCTCTCCTTCCAGTCCACAGTACGTAAAAAAAGCATCAAAGTCGGCAAAGTTTTTGGAGTACCTGGAGCTGATGTCAGAGTGAGAGCGGGTCACACCTTTACCAGGCCTCCCCTGGTTCTCAGGGGTGGGATAGTAAGCAGACATGATGTTGTCTTTGATCCACAGACACTGATATCAGAGTTGTGTTTTTCCTCTCCTCCATTTTTCCTCCCGTCTGCCTGGCAGGAACTTTCCTGTGCGCTACATTCCTTTGCTAATCCCTCAGGTGTACTTACCTCATTGTCCTGCTCACATTCCTCATCTGCCACGTTAATCAGTGGTACACTTTTCTTGACCACCCTCCTACGTGTAATGTTGAATTTCCTTCCACCTGGACCCCTCATTAAGTCACATTTCTGTCTGTAAAGCAGCAGAGAGTCTGGGCGCTTTTTGGAGCTGCAGCGACGTACCTGCCCTGAAGGAGAGGCACTACCTGTCGTCTCTTCTGGGTCATTCTGTGATAGGTGATTCCCACTGTGACTGGAGCTCCGGTTCGAAGACCCTGTGCTGCTCACAGAGGCTGATCCAAAGCTGATCAGACCCTCTTGAGATGAGCTCACTTGCTGGCTTTTAATGTATCTGGGTTTGCTGGCAGCAAGCCTCTGTACAGCACTCATGCCTCCTTTTGATTCACTCTCCAACTCCATTTGTTTTCGAAGGTATTCAGGACCCTTCTCCAGGATCTTTGAAGTGTCACTGCTTGTCTCCATTGTTTTTCAGAAAATATTCAAATATGGCAGCGTCCAAAGTGTGTGCTATAGCCTCTATAATGTCCCACGTACAAGATTCCATTCAAGCCTGTTCCTTGCCTGAGCACGTATCACGAGAGATTTTACCTAGTCTTTTCAAGCACACATAACTGCACCCCACCCTTCCTGTGCAGGGCTAGTTTTAACCAAACACAAGTCTGTTCAAAGTACACCTGATCTCATCATAGGTGAAAACGGTGAAAGCTGACACCACTCAAGAGGGTTTTTTTCTCTTTTCCTGCTTGAATTGAGTTTTTTCATACCTGTTGCTTAACAAAGGGCAAATGTCACCCTTTCTTTCCGTAAAGTAGTAATATGTACTTCAACACTAAACATAAAGGGGGTTTCCTACAGTGTTCATTCTAGAACAATGCAATGTTTTGTCAATCTGCCGAGATATGTCGTTGTGTCAAGTTTACATTACATATAATTACCATTTTTAATTGTCTTTAAATCAGGATTTCACAATTGTATTTGCATAGGTAATCATGTACAGTATCTTAGAATGATGACAAATGATTTGTCAGACCATATTGTCAGAGAAGTTGTCTCATCACCTTGACATTATTTTCATCAGCCAAACAACCAAAAGTGTTTAGAATTTTCACTAATGAACTAAGTTATTTAACTCAATGAACCATATGATTTTCATCAGTATATTTATAATTGTGATCAGTCCTCAGCAACCCTGTGCTTAATCAGATTAAAAGTAAATAAACATATTATTGTTGCAAAAATGCTAAATATGTTACAGCGTATTATAATAACTATAATATTAATAATAACAATAAAGGGTAAACAATCAAACTCACTTTTTCATTCTTACATGCAAAGGAATTCTTAACTCACTCTTACTGACGTTATTTACATGTTTAAAAGACAGGTGGCAGCACCTAAACACATGCTGCACAAACTTGATCATGTAAATCCTCCTCCACTGCTTTGGATAAAAGCGTCTGCTAAATATAAATGTAATGTACAATCCATTCTAACACTTCCTTTAATTGGTTTAATTGCATCAAAAGACAAAGCCAGAATTAAGTTAATGAGAGTAAACACCACATGCTGGATTTGTTGATGTCATCTGGCTGTGTTAGAATTCTGCCAGTTAGTTTACAGTGTCAGTGACAGATGAAATAAAGATATCTTTTATTATTTTTCTGAAAATCATCTGGCCAATAAAAAGGATGACACACTTGTTTTTCTGTGCTTACACATTGTTGTACAACATCTGGGTGTAGTGTTGACTGTATTTATTTAGCTGTATATCTGTCTTCCCCAAATCAAAAGGAGCAGCTCATATGGGGATTCCATGGCATTAACTTAGGCTTTACAGTCACGTTTTCTCTGCTTCAAATTAATCCAGTCCATCTTGAAATATGTTCTCGTAAGATTACGGTTTGTTGCTCTCGTACTCTGAAGATTTCGAAAAAGTTGAGCGGTATTAAGAGTAGATATGACACAGTGAGTAAGATTTTTTCAATTAGTAAAATTTTCATTGGATTAAACGAACACACAGCATCAACAATTCAAGTGAACAATCAATGAAACACTCGCCTGCTTGACTCTGTTGTTCCTCTCAGCTGGAACTTGGCATCTTTTAGTATCCCGCATCTTTACTGCTTGCACTCACATTAGATTCATTTTCAGTTGCAGCAGACGGCTCCCTCTCCTCCATGAATATTTTTTTAACGCAGCTGCACGCTACCTACCACACATAGAGACAGACAATACAAAAAACATTTAACACGTAACATTCCCTCATCAAACACAGCACCAGCAGATTCACCTCTGGTGACCCAAACACTAACCCAAAGTAAATATGATGTTGAAATAAAAGTATTTATAAATCCTGACTTTTTGCCTTGCCAACACTTTCTTGCAGCTTTCCCAAATGTCTTATTAAATGTTACTACACCCTAACACATATGCACACACACAAATCAAGGCACTATCAATTCTGACTGTTAAAGTTAGCTATTTGATTTATTTCTCACATTCCTCTGATATTTCAGTTGTCTGAATATGACATGCCCAATTTATGGTCTGCAGTCTATGTGATACGTGTGGGCAAGGCTGCCTCGATATACAAGAAGAAGGTATACGCTATAACTTTTTTTTTTCCTCCCATGTTCTTTCTTTGTCATCACACCATGGCAAAGTCCAATGACCTTTGAGTCCTGTGATATTGCGACATCGATAGACAAGGGGAAAATGGTGCCGCTTGAAGGCACACACATAGACACTAAATACAATATACACTAAAATATATATAATACGAATTCTGTTGGTAAAAAAAACACAAAACTGCTGACATCATAACAATTCCGGCACTGAATTACTTTTTGTGATTGAATAAAAATAAATAACAAAAGATGACAGGTAGACACATAACCTTAAACCACTTTGTTACATCTTGTAAAATTTAATGTTGAACTTGAAATAGCTGGCGTGTTGTCCGACTAATTGCTGTAACAGCCTTAATGGGAAAACATAACAGGATAAAGAGTGAACACGATGACTAATATCACTGCTTTTATTTAATCCTTTGATGATGGTTATTAATACGTGTTCTATACTTAAATGCGGGGCTGCATCGTCCACTAATTGTATGTTTAGCAGTTCATTCACAACAATTACAGTCCATCCTCGAGACGTGAATGAAAAAAGGTGACTCAAATAAGGAATAGACGTCACAAGATTGGATATAATTGCTGCAGGCATCCTTTGCAAGCAGACACTTTATGAGAGTTATGTAAAATAAGTGATAATTACCTATTAGACATTCAGGACTAATTTCCAAAAAATAAGGCTACTTTTGCCTCATCAGTCACTGACTATTTATTCCAGCATCATCCTACTGTAATTCTGTAAACAGTTGTTTAGTGGTGACAAAGATAATTTCTTTTCCAGTTGCATCTTATTTCACGATAGCTTTTACTCAGCAAAACAGAAAAATAGAAGAAAATTCAAAGACAAACTTGTCTGCATGTGGTTTCTGTGTAGCTGGGGACTGGCAGTGAGACTAACAAGTGTGGTGGTATCTGTCTGCATTAGTCCACAGAGGAGCCGTTCTCCACAAACAAGTCTCTTGTTTAGAATTCAGTCCATTTTAAATATAAAAACAACCTTTTCCTTTTATTAGACATATAAATTTTGCAGGGCACTGAACAACAAACGTGTCCTTTCTTTGAAAACTTAATCACTAATTCTTTTTATTCATGTCTCACCGAATGGTAATGCTTTCAAAATTTGATTGTGGAAAAAAATGGTGAGACACCCAGAATAAAAAACAGCTATAGGGCAACATAAAAAACAAACTAAAAGTAATGAGAGCCATACATGCAGGAACAACGGAGTATCTGAAGTTTTTATTTATTATTCCTAGTAATTAATGCTTTCATCTTCAAACAGGCCTGGGATTTTTTTTCAGCGGCTTGTTGCACATTTATTGTTCCACTTATTAGTTTAATTACAAAGAGTGTTTTCTATGATATAAAAGTTGTTTTTACACTGTTTTTTTCTTTACATCAAACATCTTCCCCTGCTAGCATGTGACCTCTTAAGCCTCCATATTTTCAGATTATCATTAAAATACCAAAATAATAAATATATTTGAAAAGCATAACTTTTATTTATATTAGACATGTGCGAGATCTCACCCTCTTAACGTGAAGCAGGTGAAGATAGATAGGTTGTAAATACGGTTGTAGATGAGTTCATGATGAAGCATGTCAAAACAGGTAAAGGTTGGCCACAAGCTAAAGCCCTGTGTGTTTTTCAGTACTGAAGGCAAAATTTACAACAGCTGAAACTAATTTTACAAAAGAAAAACCATAAACTGCAGTGTTGTTATGTGCAAGGGTGCAACCCAGAAATCAGCTTAATAAAACACTCATGCTCAGAAGCAGGCACCTGTGGATATTTAATTTTCTCTACAGTAACAAGAGGGACTATAGTTTGTATATCTTATTTCCATTCGATAGTGATTTAATAAAAATACATTTAAATAACCATATTTCAAGGTTAATTAGAAATTTCAAAGAGAAATTGTATTAAACCTCTAAAATATCAACTGGAGTAATGGATTTTAACCATTAGTAATAATAAAAAGGGACTTATGCCTATCCTTTCAGTATAAAAATCATCATTATGGAACCCCCTTTCTACTTTTTTTGTTGTAATGCTTAACATTCTTTTAATCAGAGAAAAATAAGGAACACAGGCATGGCAGTAAGGTGTATGCAATTTGTGCAGAATGAAGGTTGGCTTTGTTCGTGTATTTAACATGTAGTTCCACGTCAGTTGTTGGGAGGCAGCATTGTATTGTACAGCATATCTGCAGTTATAATATAGGAGAAGAAGATTTAGACGAGCGGAGGCGGAAGTATCAAAGTTGACATCGCAACGGCGACGAGGAAGAAGAAAACCAACATGGCAGGCAGTTCAACCAAGTCAGTCTTATTCGTTTGCCTGGGTAAGGAATTAAAACAAGTCAAGAAACACATGCACACAAGTCATATGAATTCGTTATTTATTTTAAATACTATAGTCATTCATTACCTTTAAACAGTGTCTCCTACCGTTTATCCAGTAGTAGGTCAAGCCTTGTCTAGCTAACTGGTGGAGCTGTCGGTTTTTGTGTCACATTTTAAACGCCAGTGAACCTTTTACCGCGCTTATTTCAGAAATTTAAAAGAAATCTTATCCTTTGCATTCACGGACATTACCCCACAAATCGTAAGCCTCGTCGTCAAAAATTATGAGGTGTTTAAATATAGATTTTTTGTTAGTTTTTGTATGTTGTATGACTAAGCGAAAGTATTCTACATTGATCTTGCGCCGGTTTTTGCACTGTGTCCGCAATAATGCAAATACATCTTTGAGTCTGCCTCTTTATATAAAATAATTATACATTATTTTGTATGAGTTACATTTATGTTGAACTTTTTAAAAATTATTTTATATATAACAGCATAAGGAAGAAGCAGATGAAGTGTGGAATATCCTGAGATGTAAAATAATGGTCATAATAAATAATAAAAGACGACCAGCTAAGGTCGACCATTTTGGAGATTATATTAGATGCAACCTTGACATGGTTTGGAACTGTGTTGTGTAGAGGTTTTGGACAAAAGCTGTTAAGTATTTAGCTGCGCACGGGAAGAAAAAACTTGGTGTTAACTTATAGATGTTTGTAAAAGAGCGCATGTAAAGGATTCATTGTAAAAGTAAAGAAATCTCCCGTAGAGATTGTGAAAGAACTACAATGAACAAATTAATCTTAGAAAAAGAGGGTACAAAAAAGGATACCTAACCTAAGTTTGTAAAAAATAAAATATAGTAAACTAGAGAAAATATGAAACAATAGAAGCAAGTGTTCAAAGTGACACCAAAAAAGAAACACGAATAAGCCATCAAAAAGTATTTTGACATAGAAATGAAAAAAGAGACAAAAGAAAAAAATGTGCTCGTCCTCCATGTGTGTCTGATATTATTCAATAACTTGCTGTTTACAATTATAAAGATGTATTTTATGTTTTTGAACAGGGAATATCTGCAGGTCCCCTATCGCTGAAGCAGTATTTAGAAAGATGGCAACAGACGCTGGTGTCGTTGATACGGTAATGGCATTATATCTTTATCACAATAAAAAAGAACTTTAAGAAGTATGTGATTTAGAACTTTAGAACAGACTATAGTGAGATTAGTTGTGCAAGAAAGACTTAAATGCCCTCGTTAAACTAGTCCCATTTCCTAAATGGTTTCTGAATAAATAAACATGTTAAGAGTGGACTTCACATGGTTTTATCAGTTTTTTATCAGGTTTTATTTAATGTACATTGATGTCAGAAGCTGTGGTTTGTACAAACAAGAAACTTGAACCAAAGCCATACACATTTAGAACATTAGTGTTATTTAATGTACATTGATGTCAGAAGCCTTTACTTGAGATAACCAGGTCATCCCATGTTGTCATTGTGCCTCGTGCCTTCCTGTGCCTAGTGGAGGATCGACAGTGCGGCCACCTCCACCTATGAGATAGGAAACCCTCCAGATTATCGTGGCCAAGCCTGCATGAAGAAGCATAATGTGCCAATGAGACACGTAGCCAGGCAGGTATGATCACCTTATCTCTTTGCTGTGGTTAGCCCTCCCCCTTTTTCTTTGTCTTGTTGCAGTGGGTCATAGACAGTGGTGCAACATCTGACTGGAATACAGGCAGTTCTCCGGACGCCCGTGGTCTGGCCTGCCTGAGGAAACACAACATTGAGACAGACCACAGGGCCCGACAGGTACAAACAGAAATGACCTGGCCTGGACTGTATGAGTTACTGGATATTGGTATAAACACAATAAATATATTTTACCCTGCAGTGTTGCATATATCATAAGGACAGCCTCTCCTTAAGTTCCTCACTGTGTTCTTTCCATAAGTTTCTTTAATTGTTTTTGTACATCCTCCTTCAGACTGATGTAATTCCTGAGGTATTTTTATCTGATGTATTGATTGTGCAGATCTTTTTTATGCCTGCCTTTGTGTTCTCTTGTTGTACAGCCAGTTATTTTGCTGCACATGTGTCATATAATTTAATTATGGTTTTATGTCTTGTATGACTTGTATTTTATCTTTTTAATTTGCTGGAGAGTAATGTGTATTTATTAGGTGCTTCTGGATCGTAATCCCTAGGTTTTGCCTGTTTTACGCAAGTTTTGACTTCACATTACAGTACAAGCTAATCACTTTGCATTTTTTGGACTGGGTTTAGAATTTTGCCTGCCTTAACACTTAATATATTTTTTCTCAGATGGAAGAAAGTACAGAACCAGTAGGCCAGCATTTTGAAATTTTGATATTGAAAAATCCCAATTGCTGTAACAATAGTATTTTTTATATACACTTACTTATGTGCTCCTTAGAATCACCATGTTAGTTCAATAGTGACAGTAGATTGAGTATGTTTAGCTTGTGTAGAGCAAACCTTAGATACAGACGGGCATACAGGCATTAATTATTGAAGATCTTTCTAATCAGGGCTTTTTCATGTCCATTATGTTACTTTAGACACAATGAAAAAAAAAACACTGAGAGACAGAGGGTAAGAGAGAATAGTTAGATTAGCCAAAAACCAATAAATTAATACATCATACTCATAAACAGGAGAAAATTCAACAGCTTCAGTGGTTTTGTTGCTATTGATCTGTTGTCGAAAGCAAATGGAGTCCATTGTCACATGAACGTGTGTCCATTGTTATACATATGTTTTTAATGTTTTGTCACTTAGGTTACTCTGTGCGTATTTATTATATTTTTGTACAAAACATCTGAAGCTTTATTATTATTCAGTTGGTCATTAGAAATATTGTTGAATAACACAGGCTTCAAAATTGTATTTATTATTATTTTCAGTTTTGTTTTAGTAAATTAGACAAGCAACTGATTGTGTGCGCTTAACATTTTATTGACAGACATATATCTTAGTGCAGAGCCTTGACCGTGCACAGACTGGTCCTCTGAAAGATGCATCTTTTATACAGAATCCTGGTGCTCAAACCTGTGAAAGTTATAGTTTATTGCATGGCCTTTTCTGATGTTTCTCCCTGTGCATCTATTGTTAGGATAGGAAATTACAGCAGTTGTTTTTAGAAAGCCACTACACAATTGTTCCACTTTCATAGACATATTATGTACCCCTCCTAAAGAGGCATGCCCCCCAGTTTGGGAACCACAGCACTGCAAGATATGTTGTTAAAGTGTTCAACACTCTTAATAACATTAAAAAACCTAATAATTGTGAGTAAGATGGATAATTGTCTGAACATGGCAGATAAAAGGGGGAATTATAAGTGTGCTTGGCCTTTTCGCCCTGTGAGATTTTAAAATGTGTGTGTGCTCACAATTTAAATTGTTTCCTGATCCACTTGCTGTTGGCGATTCTTGTTCACATTCTTTTTAACTTCTAAACATGGGGAGGAACAATAAAAACACTGGTAGATAACTGTGGCTTCACCGTATGTTCAGGCTTAACTTAACATTTTTGGCTCACTCTTGTCTCTGAGTAAAGGCTAGCATTCTGTCAATTAGCAAAACAAATCCACAGCAACAGATGTTTGTACTGGTGTTGTTTGTGTTTCTGAATTTGACTGCTTAGACAAAAGGTATTGAGTACTAAAGAAAAGAGCGAGGTTTTTCCATTGTTGGTTCCATTTTTATCCTGTCTATAAATTACTCGTAGCCACAAGTAATCACTGGACAGTGTTAGACAACATTCTAATATGGTAATGGTCAATTTTGCTCTGCAAAATGATCCTACCCATTAATGTTGAGAGTCAAATAACAATGAGGCAAATTATTTGCAGCATGGCTGCATGTGTTTCAAATTCTTGGAACAGGCCAGAAATTATGGCAAGATGTTTGTGCATGTAGTTTTCATGATAGCCTGTTTTATCCTCAGTGCAACTTTGACTCCCATGTGCACTTAAATACTCTTTTAATGTTTCCCAGAGAGAAGTTAGGGTTTTTACTCTACACTGGATCTCATCTAATCTCCTCAAAGCAGAGCAGAAACGCAGGGCCCAGCTTAGAGCCAGCCAAATCCACAAGATGAGCTTTGACAAGCCTTTTTTCGTTTCCTCTGCTCTTTTACCGCACTTTTCTTTTGTGCCACTGACTTTTACAACACCTGCATTTCTCGTGCTATAAATTAATCTGGTCCATTAATTGATAATGAAATTCCACTTCTGGTGGAAAGCAGGAGGAGAAAAACCACAATATCTCTAAACAAGAAGCAGGACAGTTTATATAGTGTAAACAAGCTTGGTTTGGTAATCAGATTAGCTGCTTTTTTAGGAATGTTTACTGAAAACAGTGGAAGTCGACTTTCAGACCTTCTTCAATTCTTATAGAACTGCACGTGGTCCATGGCCATTTTTTCCAGGAGCGTCTGCTTCATAAATCACAATCTAATCCAGGGTTTTATTCACATCATCCCTCACATCAACAGATGTGAGGGATGATGTTCACCTAAGTCTCTCTTGGCCTCTAGGTTTCTTGGCTACTTTCAAATTAATATAATTGATGTTTTGACATTGCAACCTCAGTTAATGAGGGTAAGGGTAAACATAATTTGTTTGAGCACAAACATATTCACAGAACTTTGTTTTTTGTGTCCTCATTTTCTTGGTCACACAGCTACAATTAGATCAGTTTTCTGAATTAATTGTGCAAGCATTGTATTTTGTCCAAGTTGTCGGTCTCCAATTGCTGTCTGGACTGTTACAAAGTGGACATGAATTTTGAATGAAAGTGTTTTATCATGTCAGAAGTAAAGAGACATTTTCATTGTGGGGACGTGTTGCTACTGATTGAAAAAAAAATAAAGAAAACCACTGACTATACAGAGTTTAAGCCCTTCATATAAAGGCTTACAGGGGCTGCATCTCCTTTTCCAATTATGCAGATGAAGAATGGATTATCAAACATGGAAAATTGCAGACATGCTGCAGGCATTTGGAAAAAAAGTTTTGAATGTTATAAATCCAGCCTTACTATTGGGATATCACTGAGTTCCCACTGTGTTTATGGACAGCCACTGATAAAGGCATGGCCTGTGTTTTCTCCCTGAGCCACAAGTCACATTTATTGATGTTTCTTTTCTTTACTTCCAGGTGACCAAAGATGATTTCATGGGCTTTGAGTACATCCTCTGCATGGACGAGAGCAATTTAAGGTTTGCGGTCTCATACTTTTCCAGTCTGATTGTTTTTATTTTATTTTATTTGGTGGGAGTGGGTGTTCTGAGTAAGAATGAGCCCTAAAACACTGGGGAATTTCTTAACTTATCTCTCTTGAAAAGAGGTCATGGCAGGTTTGCCCCGGTCTTGACAATGATTTGCAGCACAGATGCATGAAAAGCGTTGGTAGCATTGAACTACAGCTCACTTGTAGGTAAATGCCTCCATTTAATGAGCAATATCCTTTCTTAAGCCCCTTGCAGAGGTCAAGGGGGAGAGATATTTTTTGCTACTTTGAACGTTGAGGGATCATTTAGAGATCACATGCCCCTGGTAGAGCTGGTCTGTAAGCAGCTTACTGAGTTCTTTGGATGCCACGTCCTGGCTCTTTGGGCAGTTTTTCCCCCCTTTGTTTTCTCTCCCACACATTTTTCCCCTTTCACAAACTCTGACCTGTCTGATAAAAAAGAGACCCTGCTGAGGACTAATGGCCAATCTTGCCATTTTTAGTTCAGCTTTTCACCAGTTACTCTATGCACATGAGAAGCTTTGACTGCTTTGTCCAATGAGGAGATTGTTAATTACACAAGAATTTAAACACCAAAACAAACAGCGGGGTTGCCCCAGGGAAATCTTTACTATATACCAAGGGCTGTCAGTGTTTAAGCTAATTTAATGCATAGGCAGAATTATCTAATATTTCCACCAACCATGCTCATCATTATCATTGCTCTATTACACAGTCAATAAGTTATTTACACACACTGTCACTGCTGTTATCAGTTCTTCTGTTTTTGTACTTTTGATTTCTTTGTAAATCTTCATAATAAAAAATAATCCACAGTTAGCCGGTAATAAATCAAAATTAGAATTTTCAATCCTTTAACAGTCCTAACTTTAACACATTTTTCAGGGTTTTTATTTTGTGCGCCCTTCTTTGTGTCTTGTTAAATGTTTCCATAATTCCTGTCATCCTCACAGTGACCTGAAAAGAAAAGCAAACTCTGTGAAAAACTCAAAGGCAAAGGTTGAGCTTCTCGGTGCTTATGATCCTCAGAAGCAGTTGATCATCAGAGACCCTTATTACGTAAGTATTTATCTTAATAATCCTGATGTTTCTATGTAGTGTTTGTCTGTGCCGCTGTAGTAGTTTATCGAAAAAAAAGCCGAGACAGGAAGTTTGCCCAAACTAGAGCGTGAGAATAATTGGAAAGAGTTTGAAAATGCACTTGTGATTTACACGTATGATTTAAGTGCTACAGAGCAGGCAATTACCTTTTTCTGAACCCTGAACTCCTGAAATCATAGGGAGGAACACTGAAGGAAACGAAGATTGAAGACATTATAAACAAAAATTTCGGCTCTTTCTGACTTGGAATACAGAGGTCTTTCGTTATAAGGCCCTTCTTGCAGCTGGAAATCAATTGAGAGCGTATGCGTTTGAGAACATGAGGCACAGAACTTTTAAAAGTATTTAATGGTGCATGGCCAATATAAATTGTTAGTTATTTTTGAAAATAGCACAAAAAATGTCGTGTTGTTCCCCAGTGGCTGTGGCAAATGCTGTAAATTCCAAATAAGGTTTAAAGGAGAGGTTCAAGAGCCGGGTAGGTTTCAAATCAAGAGAGTCACATTGAGTGACAAATCGCAGTGAATCACATGAAAAAAATGCGAACAGCCATCAGCTCAACCATCATTTATTCCTTTTTGTTTTTTTCAAGCCTGTCAATTACTCAACTGTTACCTAATTGTGTTGAAGTGATCAGTTTTCCTTTCTAGCGACTGGGTTTTTGTTTTCTTGAACCTTTGCATGATAATGCACTGCACTGAAACAAGGGGCCAAATGATTTGGGACAGTGTTTGTGGACTGCTTTTTATCATCTTGTCACTGACTATTATTCTCTTTCATTTACCCTGTATTATAACCAGGTTTCTTTGCCATACAATGCTCAAAAGCAGAGCAGCCGTAGATGCTCTCACAGATGAAGAAAGTCCGTGATTGATATACGGTTGTCACAAATTGTAAATCAAAAAAAGTATATTTAAAGTGTCATCACATTTTAATTGTGTTCAAACATCAGCACGTTTTTTTTCTTTTTTCTTTTTTCAAAGACCATGTTCTCAAAGGCCATTCTGCCAACATGTGAGCCAGCACAAAAAACCCTAAGCAATCTAGTGTCAGTGAAAAAGGCCAGACGAGAGACATGTGGAACAGACGCGGGGAGCCTAAACTCTTTTACACACATTTACGATTCACGGCTGATGTTTTAAATTTTTTTTTTTTAATTATTTTAATTTGCCGCTCTTGATTTCACCATCGCTGGAAATTATTTTACTTGTGTTTGTGTTTGTTTTCTGTCTCTCAGGGAAGCGATGCCGACTTTGAAATGGTGTATGAGCAGTGCGTCCGCTGCTGCAAAGCTTTTCTGGAGGCAAACTCCTAACTTAGAGGAGATGAAACAATTCACAATAATTCTGTCAAACAAATAATCAATTTAGAGCTTCTTGTGTTTTGTGTCACGCAGATGTAAACAGACTTCACCTGTTGACATCATGTTGAAGACATCCGTGAATGTTCTGTCCTCGTAGCTAAAAATCATACAGAAGCACATGTGCGTCTATTTAGGATGTTGTGGTGTGAGTCTGTTCACTATCTGGAATTTTAGGGAATTAATAAATTTAATTGAACAAAATGGTTTTGATTTTGTATACATTTTCTTTTTGCTGATAACGTTGATGCCCAGTTGTGTACAGAGATTCTTTAAAAGGCTTTTTTCTCTCCCAGGTTTGGCATTAATTATTGGTATTTATTATTGGCATTTATTTTTGGCATTTATTATTAGTATTTATTGTTGTTGGAGATAAGCGTTTAAGACGGATAGCAAAACATATAAAACATAGTTGAATTTGACGGCATCTGGAGCTTTTCATAAGGAGCTTTTCTAACTACTTGCCACAGCAGAAATGATGTACGAGACACAGTTGGAGAGATTTGCAAAGACCCATGAGTGAAAGTAGTTTTCCACAAGTTGATTCAACATTGAAAATAATTGTCTCCAAATTCCAAACTGATTTCGGTCGATAAACCCCATACATTTTCATAGAATTTAACCATTAGATGTGGGTCTGATGATGTATATTGTTATTGATTTGACTATAATGCAGTGATCTTATATAAAGATGTTGTACAAAAGAATTCGTATTTAGAATTTAGGAGATGCATCCATCAAATTTCATTTCACCGTTGTCCCCAGTGTCTGATGAGCACGTACTTCAGAAAGAACCTTTATTCTAGGATAAAGATTTATGTGACTGAATTACAACATTCTGGTTTTCTGATACGCATTGCAATGATTTTGCAGTAACCCACTTTTTTTTCTGAAGTAAACAAGCTTCACTTTCCCACTTGGTCTTTATAAAGTATTCCTGCGTAAGCTCTGGGAAGTTTACCAAACATTAATCTCAGGACTGAGTCCAGTCATGTGTTGATGCCGAGAATTTCTCAGGAAAGGATTGTAAAGGGGGGAAAAAAAACCCAAATCAACTACATCAGACAACAAAGACCAGTCAATATTGTATCAATCGTATAATTTATTTAAATATATTTATTGATTTTTTTTTAAATATACAATATATACGTTATATACATCAGCCTTGAGGTAACTGCCAGTCACTTCTATTTGTGGTAGTTACATGTAGTCGTGATATCATTTGCTTTACAAAATGTGCATGTTTGTTATGGTGTACCTGGTTAAGGCCATAGTCTTGTGTATTGGATTCGTGTGGGAGAAGCCTCAGATGAATAAATAACATCATGTACTTAAGTCTAAGATCCACAGGAGAAAGGGTGACTCAGGAACACCACTTTTTTTTTTCAAAATGCTCATCCTCACAAGGATGCAGAGAATTGTCCATGTAATTAATAATGTAATCACTGTTCTCCATTTTCCCTCCCCCCTGCGTGCACAGGTGAATGTTTTCTGTTTAGTCAGGGTTATACAGTAGCCAGAGCAGTAGTAAAAAAAAGTTTGGATCCAACCCGAACCCAAGGCTAGGCTTGTTACAAACGCCGTACTTAAAATTAGCTTCTTACCTAGAGAAACAACAAAAAAATATGCAATCCCTTTTTGTCACATCTTTTTGGACGCTTACAGGAAAAAAGAAAGTGTCCCCTCTCTTTGTTCTCTTTCTTTGTCTTTCTTCTTTCTTTATTTTTGATCTAGTTTTGTCGCTCTGTCATTGATGGCAGTCAATGGTCAAGGCCAGCCAAAGCAGTGAGAGGCAAGAAGTCCGTGCCTTAGCAGAACAGAGCTCACTGAATGACAACAGTGTGTATAAAATCAGTGGGGGACGACCACAGAACTTCAGCCTTGCTTCTTTCTTAAGTGTCCAAGGTACTTCTTTTTCTTGGTCTTTGTGTTTGGCATGGTTCTGCAAAGACAGAACAAATTTCAGCACCATTCACACTTGGCCGAACCAGGCCTGAAGATTTCCAAAAACAATTTACAACAACAAACATAAGGAAACATCTTAACATGCTATTCTCACTGGGCTGCTGAGGCTGTTGGTCCTGCATGTAAAGAGATCTATAACCAACTCTGAAACTGAGTGTCTGAAACTTAACTCTTTGAACTGGAGAACTCCTATTTTGATGGAGACTTTATTCACTGGCTGAAAATTAGGATACATTTATCAATTTATAAATTAGGATACAAAACAGCATGTTTATAGAGCCACAACAGATCAAGTCAAAATCATTGATAACCCGTGACAGTTTAACATAATGGCTTTATTTATTTTAAGTTTAAAAACAGACAAAACGTTTTTACAAATCTAAAAAATAACAAATATTGCCCTTGGGACTTATTGCCTTAAAACAGCATGTTTATAGAGCCACAACAGTGATGTGTGTTAAGTTATTATAATGGCAAATAAATAGAAATTAATGTTTCTGGTTCAGATATAATTTTCCATCTGTTACTTGTGAAAGTGTCTTGGATTACTGCATAAATTGGTTGTAAAATGTGTTCTCTTCATCTAAGTCACAATAATAGATAGACACAGTCTGTTTACCCTTACAATACTGCAAAAAAACACAGTTTTCATCTTTGTATTGAACACAACATGTAAACATTCACTGTGCAGGAAGGAAAAAGTATGTGAACCCCTGGGCTCAGTGGAGCCAGGAGTCAGCCAATCTGCACGGTGGATGTTTACATGTTGTTTTCATTAAAAACTTGAAAACATACCATTTTTGTCCAGTATTTGTCCAGTATTTGTATTTGTTCAAGTATACCCAATAGAGAAACTGTGTTGAGTCGACTGTGTTTGTCTACTGCTGTGACTTAGATGAAGATCAGAAATCAAAGTAATCCCAAAGAGTCCACATACATTGACAGTTAACAGTTGAAAATGTCTCTGTCCACAAAGTAAGATATTGTTAGCTATTGAGATTCAAGTATACCCAATAGAGAAACTGTGAGAAGAAATGGCAATTGTGCAGTACTTTTCTTACTTTCTTTTCAGTATTACTTGCTTGGTGTAAAGGCACATGAGTTTCCAGTCATTACTTTTACCAACAATACTGTTTCTTAATTGGAAATGTGGGTGTTTCTGTAAAAGCTGTTGCCTCGTAACTGAAAACAGAGTTGATGTACTGGAAGTTTTCTCGGTGAGTGTATCTTACCTTGTATGTGCTACCCCACTTTGCACTCCTGTCTTTCAGATAGCCGCGTGAGGAGCTTTGCACATCTTTTGAAAACTAAAAAAGAAATGGAGACATGGAGAGGTCACTGAGCTGCAACTGAAAATAATAATTTAGCTAACACTGCTACATTCGACCTTGATTTTCCTGTAATTTTATTTTATTTTGAATTGAACATCACAACACCATTGGTCACTAAAGGAGATGGTGCTTTTAAGTTCAGCTCGTGGGCCAATATTGTGACATGAATGTCACAATGACACAAGGATTATTAGTCTGATGATGGTGTTGGACTGTTCAATGTTGTTGACTGTAAAATTAGGTGTTTTTAACACTCAAATGGCAGGATGAACTTAATTTCCAAAAACAAGTTCCATGGAATCTGATTCTGTTAAGTTTCCAGCCTGTACTTTGGCAGATTTGTTGTCAGTTGACACGTTGACTGCCCTGATGTTGGGACCATTGAACGTGCCGACCAGCACACAAGCATTGATGCTTGGATCACATGAGAAAATTGTTCTTATAAAACCGTTATTTTTAGGCTGTTCCTTCAGGAGATTTACTCTATTAAAGTGAAGAATGTCAGACTAGTGACTTTTGTTGTGCGTATGACCATAGAGAGAGGGAATGGCAAGATGCCAGGAGAAATGGGGAGGGGGTTTTCCCTTCACTGTTTTTAAAATGCCCACTAATCACCAAAAAGAGAAGGATGCAGTTTTCAGACTTACATTTAGGTACTGTGCATTCTCTGGTGGTGTAGAGTCTGTTTGCTTGTAATTTGCAGTCAGGACTGATGTAAAGTGGACCTGAAAAAAAAGAAAGGAAGAGAGGTTTTCAAACGTGGTCTCCAGCTGCAGTAACACCGATCTCACGAGCACTACTTTTTTGGTAATAACTTACCTGTGAAGTATTTAAGTAATTTATCCTTCCTTCTGTCAGCCAAACCTATGGAAGTGGACAAAATGAGAAACATAGTGTCAGAATTTAATGTTAGGAGGTGAAAAAAATATCAAGAATAAACATTAAGTTTGGTTACAAACCAAGGCATTTTTAAAATTAAAATGGAACAGTTGTAAACAAATCTTGAATTAATTAGAAATTTTACTTTTGAATTGTAATTATTGAGGTTTCTCTCATCCATCCATCTCTTTTATTCCTATAGTAAAAAATAAATATTGTATTTATTCCATTTCCGCTGACTATCATGAGCATGCGTTCAGCAGCTGAGTATTCTATCGTGTGTTCCATCTTGGGTCATGCCAAGTTGAGTAAACTGTGGGTCTGCTTTTTATTTTAAGAATCCAATAGGAGATACACTCGTTTAGACTGCATTCTGTTTATACATCTTTCTCTGGAGGGGCAACAAGTACCTTGCTCTGAGATCAACCCGCCCCCCTCACCGTCTTTGGTCTTTTTTAAGTTGGATAAATCCTTTGGCACCACCGAAGACGTATGCGCTTGTGCCGTTGTGGGTGCCTCCGTTTTGGCACCATGTCGACTGTGGCGCTCCTCCACTCGTCTCATGATCTCCACGATCCTCCTCGAGCTCCTATGCGCGCTCCTGCCAGTTGCAGCTGACGCCGGGGCCACCGAGGGCGCGCTGTGGCTGCAGTGGTCGGTGAGGGCGCACATGATGAGCACCAGTCCAAAGGTGAAGGCTTTCATAGCTTCCGTGAAATGGTAAAAAAATAAGCGGGGGTTTGTGGGAAAAAGTCAGAACTTTAAATCCAACGTTTGTGTGAGAAGGTTCAACCAGGCACCTGTGGAGAAACACACCAGAGATGTCAGAAGACCGAACCCTTATTTAATTTACGCGCACTGTGAGCCGCAAAGGAAACCAATTATATAGTTTCAGACGTTGTGACGTCATTTTCTGACTGTCGGCCAGCAAGCTTGACAAATTGATTTCTTACAATATTGTTGCCTCATTGTGGATCGATAACACGCGCATTTGAGAGCGTTACGCGCAAAGTCAGCGTGCCCATTTGG